AGCAGCCTGAACCTAAACGTCAGGGCACCAATATAAACTTTGCTGAGTTCCTCCTTTCTCTTTCCTGTCCTCTCACCCTACCCCAATCCCAGTGACTAGAGAAATTGCTCCACCACAAGCAGGGCGGGGTGCGTGCCAGAACCCTTAGAGATGTGGCCCTACTTCAAAAAGGGAAACTTACACTTTTTAAATCAACCCGAATACATTTCCTAATATGGAATTCCACCAAAGTTTGACTAGGAGTCAAGACCAAAAAAAAAAAAAAAAAAAGAATCACAGCCATGCAAATGTCTACCTGATAAGCGAATTTTCCTTTTCTCTCCTACATGAATATTACAGGATAGATTTTTCTCAAGCTAGGTTCATAAGTTTTTAATGGGACAATAGAAAGAAAAAGGGGAAGGACAATAGCATAGGACATAGAAGATACCAATAGCTGAGGCTTTCGAGTCACGTGACGCATGATTGAGAAAAAAAACTGGGCCATGTTAAAGATGAACAGAAGTCAAGCCACAGAAAGGCAGATGCTGTTGATGTCGGGTCACAAGTGAGTTAGGCTGTGTCACCTGTTGCACCTGTCAGCACCCAGCAAGGCAGCAGCCTGAGGGACAGACAGGACCCCCAGGTCCCATAGGCCCTGGGCCAGCCTCCTAAGCCAACCCTCCATTCTCCCCTTTCTCCAGTTTCCTTCAGCACTCCTGTCACCTTGAACTGCTTCCTGACTTTGTGATGTGTCTCTTCCATGGAGCTGTGCACACAGCAGGTGCTACATAAATGCAGGACTTGCTTTTCTAAGCAAGTTCCACTTTCCCCTCTATGTTCACCGAATTCTCCTATCCTACTTCTATTTTCATGTTCCATTTCCTAAAGATACACAAGAGGCTAAAAGCATAACTCTCCTGAAATTCCATATCTATCCCAAAGGCAGCATGACTGGCTCCATTACTCCCAGTAATGGTTTCATTCTAAGCTCTCCTCCCATCCCCCACCCCCCAGTGATTATTCTAAGCTCCCAGGAAAGTGATTCATAGGCTTGGTTGGTAAGAAGCGTAGGTACACATCTTGCCCTATGGCCCATGATAACTAGCCTTCCACAATGCCTGGCACACATGACACCTGTGTAACACAATTCCTGCCTATGCTTAGCACACCCTCCTACAACCAATAAGCCCATATGGAATGGAGAAAAGTGTCCTCATGGGAAATCTATGTTTTAGCTCCAGCTCTGACTCTTATAAGCTCAGTTTCATAGTCACAGAGTGTTTGAGCTGGCGATGACCTGAGTCCAGTGAGATGAAGAGACAGGACTTGTCCCATCTGCAAAATGGGACGGGGAATTCATACCCTTGGGAGGCCGGAGGCTAGGGCCCTCCCTCCACACCGCACCATCCCAGCCTACAGCCTCCCCCCACCCCCTCCAACTCACCGCACTGCTGCAGGGGATGTCCTTCACCTTGAGCCAGGCCAAGTCCAAGGTGCCCTCGCCCCGGTAGCAGGACTGCAGCCGCTCCTTAATGCGGTCATTGATCTGCTTCAAGATGAAGATGCACAAGGCCGACTCATCCAGGGATTTCATTTTCCGCTTCTGGCCCTTGGAGAAGACTGTGAAGAGGAGGTCGTCCTCAGGACGAACCCCGAGGGTCCGGGCAAGCACAGCGCCGGCTTTGGACAGGTAGGCAGCCTGCAGCAAGCGGTATTCCACCCCACTGCGCTCACAGCCAATGGGCACCTCCACGTAGGAGTTGAAGGCGGTATCTTCCTNAGCCTGAAGGACAGAGCAGAGGAACGGTCTAAGACCCAGAAAAATCACTGCTATTCATTAGAAATGCAAATTCTCAGGCCCCACTCAGAAACTGGGCCATTAACCCTGCGGCGGGGCTCAGCGATCTGCGTCTTAACGTCTTCCCAGGTTACTCTGCTGCACACTAAGGTTTGAGAAGCACTGGCATGGATCACCGTGGAGGTCCCATCCTTGCTCAGGGTGCATAGGTCATAACGGCAATGTGACAAACATCGCCGCTCTGGGGCAAGACCCACTGGGCCAGGATGTGGAGAGGCCCATGGCTGCCCCAAAGGCCCCCCTGAGCGGTGTTGGTGGAGGTGGCATGGGGAGCTGGAGCTGACACTCCAAATTGCAATCTAATAGCTTACCCCGCTCCCCTTCCACACAGCGGCAAAGGTTACTGTGCAATTATGTGTCGCTACATACAAATGACAGAGCAGTTACGGTTACTTTACCAATTACAGGGAAATTGCTCCCACTCTGCAGAGAGACTGGCACTCTGAAAAAGCTCTATCATCTTCATGGAAAGGGGATTTTAAATGCTGCCAGCATCCCGCCTCCGGCAGTCTCCCCAGGCTCTGGGGCAGAGCTGCAAAGCACCACCCAGGAAACCCAGAAGTGTCTGGTGGTCTCTGTGGAGACTTTTGGGGAAAGCCAAAAGAAGGGGCATATTTGGGGGACCCTGGGGAACATCTTCTCTGGAGCCCCCGTGTATCATCCCCCAACCCCAGGCCCCCTGACACACTCATAAGGAACCATCACCCTGACACTATGCCAATCCGTCCTGAAGGCCAAGGATGATGAGGTGGGGCAGAGACCTGATCCTGAAATCACTCCTCACTCCAGCTAGCATGGCCCCTGGGCTGGTTCTTGGGGGTACCACCCCTGCCAAGTGGAGCTGTTTCAGCCCCACCCTCAGTTGCCCCGCCTTTGCAGAAACCCACATTGAGTTCCTTATTACAAAAAGGTCAGAAGGAGGTCAGAGCTCAGCAGTCCACACGCAGTGCTAATGACTTAAAGGGTCACTAGATCCATCCCTCTGGGGGCCAATTAGCTCAACTCTGGGACAGAGTCTCTTCCACAGACACAGGCTGGCCCTCTTAGCCCAGGCGTCACTGTTTACAAATATCCCAAACTAATCCACAGGAGGCCAACCAGGTGAGCCAGCGGGTACAGACCGTACAGCCACCTCCTCCACCAGGATGCAGCTGCCCACTCCCCCGCAGTGGCAGAGACTGCCAGCAGTGGCAGTCTCTAAGCCCAGGACAGAAAATTCAAAGTCAGATCCTGTCCTCCCATTGCTAATGGGCAGCTCTTGGTCCAGCAGAGAGAGGAGTTCTTCCATCTGGGGGCAGCCAGCTCTCCCTCCCTCCCTGAATGCAAAAACAGCAGCCAGTCCCATGCAGAGGGGTCCTGAGCACCCCTGCGCCCATTGCCAATGCTGAGAGGCCAGACCCTTAGATGGCAGAAGAAAGCATCAGAGATTGGCCCAAGCTCACCCACTGTAGGGCCTTCATTTGGGCCTTTTTCCATCAAATGTGTGGTCTCTTAGGCTATTGGAACTCCTGTTTCCATCAGGGGACACTGAGGCACTAAATGAAGACAACACGATTTACTATTCCTCACTCATTGGTTTGCTGAAGGATGCGTAGGAAGGGCC